GTGGTAGTATTTATTATTCCTATAATTAGGCAATCCAAACCAACACGAAACTACTACTACAGGATAGCCTATCCTCATTAAGCCTGTGTGGAACAAATCTGAAGCCCCCCATACACTCAAAATCACCAGTTGTGACGTAGACAGCATGTCCTTTCTCACCTTGATGTAGTCTGATTGCACTACAGGTTATGATTCCGCGGGCTTTCGCTTCATGAATACTTGGTTTTACTACATTAATTAACATTCTAAAACAATTCTTTTTTAGCTCTAGTTTTTATCTTCCTATTTGCCTATTAGGCTAATCAAGATTAAATAATATTTAACATCATAATTTTAAATTCTAAACTACGATCGCTAGTACAAACAACTGACGACTTAGTTATGACGTCGAAAAACGTGACACACCAATATGGCGGCGATTACCAAAAACGAGGCGGATAAGCAATCCTTAGTAGTGTGTATTATCCTTGAATCCAAATGGCGGCCAAACATGGTTCAAACTTCATTTCGTAGTCGTGTGCTGTCTGCTGTGTGTTCGGAATTCCACAGTTTTATGTGCTTTAAGGTGGCTTTAGGGTGCATATGTGAGGAGTAAATCTGTTAAATGCAATACGACGACAAGACATTTTCATTATGCAGAGCCAATATTTGCAAGAACTTGGTGCCCACGCAGGATTACCCACATCCTCTAACTTACTTGGTTTTCCTATTATAAAACCATATGATTTTTAAACACATGATGCAAAATAGCGCTCATTTTTTTTTAACCTGTGATAAAATGCTTACTCCAAACTCATTGGTTTGCTACTTTAGATTGTGGAAGATCTTTCTTCTTGATTGCCGCTACCTATACTATTCGTCTTTTTCTTGATAGTTCATTTAATTGGAGAAAATATACTGAACTGGTCACGCTTGGGACCCTGGTAGAAATACATACATTGTCCCTTTCTCGGTGACTTCCACATCCCACAATTAGACCCGGCATTTTACATCACTAAACAAAAAAAAATATCCAGTTGCAGCCCGATTAATAGGTTACGTACCTAGTCAACAAATATTTTATTTATTTAAATAATCTAAATCAAACTGCAAGCAAAACTCGAAGCAAAATCAAGGATGTCACAGCAAAATAACTAAAACACGCATAAACAAACATAAAAAACATATTCAAGACGAACCTACTTCGCCGCCACGCCATATTGATTTTTGGATAAGGCCTGTGTAGGACGAATCTGAAGCCCCCGACCACGCCAAATCACCAGTTGTGACGTAGACATCATGTCTTTTCTCGCCTTGGCGTAGGCTGTTTGCACTGCAAGTTATGATTCCGCGGGCTTTTGCTTTATGCGTACTGTTCTACTACATTAATTAACATTAGAGGTGCTTTTTTTTCAGAGCTTTGAAGCCCCAGGCTTCGACGCCCTCCCTGGGGCACGTCAGCGCACGCTCCGAAAATAACGGTAATTAAGGATCAAAATCTGTATTCAAAAATCTAACCTTAAATTACAAAGTATATGTCATGGTCCAGGGGTGCGATTTTCGAAACCATTAGAGTACATTTCTTACACGAAATTTGACTGACAGTAATATAAATTAAATGGGAAGCATTCGAAATCGTATCAAATTTCTTATGCGAGAATATTCGAAAATAAGACCCCCGGTGTCGTAATGTTTTCGTATACGAAATTCCATACGATTTCGAATGCTTCCCATTTAATTTACATTACTGTCACCCCTGGTCCTGTGTAAAAATTATTCAAATCAAATGGAAAATAATTCTTTACAAAATTCTTTAATTCCCATAATAGTGATAACGGAAGTAAGCACCTAGAAATATAAGGACATTTTAGCTGCTTTCCAGCTGACATTGTGTTTGTGCTTCAAGCACAGCGCAGCACAGTGTTCTGTGTTTGAAACGCAAAAGTTAACAGTTCTCGAAGGGCAGTACGGCTGGAACACGAACACGCGCTCGAAGCATTTGCGCGCGCAAAAGCTCGAATGCGTGCTCATAATAGTCAGGTGCGGCTATAATTATCTGACACTAGTGACAGTTCAGACATTGGAGTTTCGACATCGACGCTAGAGATGAGCAGTTATAACTGTGAATGCGATTTTTTATTCACTGTGAATATAAACTGCGAATGACGTCATGATTCTTTTGGCTCCATACGCCGTTTTGCGATTGCGACGTTAGTAAGTATGTTGTTTGTTCTTGTGTATGATAGGTTCAGGTTAAATATGCTATGTGATTGCTTCAGTTTTATGATGTAGAGTAGTTTTTAGGTGATTACTGCGAATGATGCCATCCTATAAATTATTAAAAAATAAATAAATAAAACGCAGCGAGGTTTATTTTTTAGAACTTATAGTAAATAAATGCGCTAAGTAAAAACAACTTCGCGGAATAAATGCCTTGCTTGCACGCAGGATGCGGCGTATAGCGATTAGCGACGAGACGATGCGAACCATCAACAACCGTTCATGCGATCGCAGTCTTTTATTTCTTTTTTGATTGCTAGCATCCATTGCTAGCATCGAAGTGATAGTGAACGGTGAAAGCAGCAATTTGCTTCGTTCACTATTCGTTTTGACCGCTAGTCGATATCGCTCTGTCTCTGTTCGGTTAGCTTGTTTGTAGTTCCACGAGTTCACGTCAGCTGTTCGCAATATGCACTATTCGCATTTCGCAGTTTATTTTAAAATAATTAGCAGATTGCGATTGCGACTTTTCATTCGCAGTGAATTTTTAGCAGTTCGCGATTTTTTGCTCATCTCTAATCGACGCCTCACCGAGGCGCTAGTGGTGGGGATAGAAGACCCCGAGCACTGCCTCCTATACTTAACAAGCCATGAAGTTGGAAATGACGGCAACGTCGCGTATGGTGCTATTTTGTTATTGGGTTGGGTTATGTGTTTCTGTGTATTGCTTTCATTGTGTATTGTTGCAGTTTAGTATTTTTGTGGGCATTATTGATGAAAAAGTGGATAGAAACACACCAATATATTGCCCATATTTAGTTGATACCTGTTCCTTTGTGCTTTGATTGCAATTTTTTTAGCAAATGGGTACAGTAGCAAAAATGAAGGTAAGGTGAGATAAAACAATAAAAACAATATTAATATTTGTCTGCAAGAGCATATGTCTCGATATATTACCTAAGATATTTAAACTTGTTCCAGATGCCATGAACTACTGTGTTCCTATTAGGAGTTCCTTAAAAACTGAAGAAATGCAAACATTTTCATTTCCAAAAAAATTCTGAATTGCAAAAAATGTGGATGAAAGCAATACACCAAGATAATTATACCCAAGATTATACAATAACGAAAAATTCTGTGGTGTGTTGTAAACATTTTGAAGAAACCGAAATAATTAGATTTGAAACAAAAAAGGATAAAGGCGTAGTTCGAGAGTTCAAACTGAAACGTCCAACTCTTAAAAGTAGGTACCTCTTATTTTCGAAAATCAGCTCAAGTATTTGAATGGACCTGCCTTCCGAAAAAATCCCGAAGAAAGAAAAAGTTAGATTTTTCAAAAGACATACTGAAACATAGGCCTATAACACTTTAGACTCTAGAAATATATTCATTTAAATCAATTATTTACTGTTCTTATTTACACAAATAGTTATATTATTCATTGAATTACTGTTTTTGGCCCTTTAGTACAATAAATTATGCATTTTTCGTGATTCATATTATTAAAATAAAAAATATATATTTATTAAAACAAACACCACCAGCACCACTTGGCGGTAAGATTGCGGTGTTGCCTTTTTAACTTCATGGCTTGTTAAATGTAGGAGGCTGTGCCCCGAGGCTTAACGCCCCGATTAAAAAGAACGGTTGACACATTTCAAAATCGTGATCCAGGGCGTCCTGGGGCGCCCAAGCCCGTGAGAAGAAAGCAGCTTAGGTTTGTTTGTTTGTGTCACACTAACTTGAACTAAGTTGTAATATTTCGGTTTATGGCAGATTCACCCATATAAAACGCTCACAAACGAACGCCCCGAAGCAGTGCTGCCCCGAACAACACAAATAAACCTATTCTTTAATCAACTATTTTTTAGATCTCGTTTTCATCTTCCTTTTTGCCTTTTTGTTGTATTCCTTTCACACCTAGGAGGAGCTCCGGGGCGTTACGCGCCTATTCCTTTCGAAAAGTGTTTGTTGCACCACGCATCTGTTCTTTTCAAATCGGGGGCGACTAACACCGGAGCGACTAGCTCGAGTGTTTTAAACTCTGGAAAGGAATACAACTATTATGTTAATCAAAATTAAATAATAGTTTTCATCATAAATTTAAATTCTATACAACGACATGACCTCTAGTGCAAATAGCTCATGACTTGTTAATGACGTCGGAAATGGTGACACACCAATATGGCGACGAAAACCAAAAACGAGGCCGATAAGCAATCCTTAGCAGTGTGTATTATCCTTGACTACTAACCAGTGTCACCGCCACCAGAAATTTGTTTTCTGTTCGAAATCATATCCCTGTGACGTCATTCGCAAACCCTAGCCGCTTTCCAGCTGGCATTGTGTTTGTGCTCAAGCACGGTGCAGGGTGCAGCACAGTGTTCTGTGTTTGGAACGCAAAAATTAGCATCTCTCGAAGCGCAGTACGGCTGGAACACGAACACGCGCTTGAAGCATTTGCGCGCGCAAAAGCTCGATTGCGTGCTCAAAATGGTCAGGAAAGCGGCTCTTGATGCTTAACTAACCTTGCGTTCGGTATTTTGCTCAAAGAGCAGAGCGTGCCGAGCGGAGCCATAATCACGTGACCAGTGAGCGAACAGAGCAGTTGAACGCTGTATAAAAGTGCCAGAAATTTTAATAAACGAACGCGAATGAGGCTGCACCGAGTACACTTTTTAAATAAACGAACGGTAAAGTCAAGCTCGGAGAACTCGGACCAAAATAACGAACGCACGGTATCTGTCAAAATATTGACTTGTGTAATTTGCTTCATTTTTCATTTGTCTCTCTTATTTATTTGTTTTTTACAGTAGTAGAGTGCACTGTGCAGCTACAAAACCGAAAAGCAAACAATTCTCTGTTTGCCCTTCGCCTGAAGTTTGGTATTTTGCGATTGAGGTGATTATAGAATAATTATCAGTAAAATTTTAAGTTTTTTAAATGATCTTCAGATGACGTACCAACTCTACAGAAATACAACTTTGGGTCACACGCTTCAGGAAAGCTTGGACGAACTTTTACGTTATGATCAAATTACACCCCAGCTTGCGTGCAAAGTCCTTCTGCAATTCGACAAATCCATAAATGCGACCCTGGCGACAAAGGTAAAGTCCAGGCTCACATTCAAAGCTGGTAAATTGAACACTTACAGATTCTGTGACAATGTTTGGACCTTTATGCTCAACGATGTTGAATTTAGAGAAGTACAAGAAATTACCAAAATTGACAAAGTGAAAATTGTTGCTTGTGATGGAAAAAGTATGGATACTTAATTTTGTCTTTGGGTTATTGGGGCTCTATCTGCTATACCTATTTATTAGCTCAATTTTATTCCTTAGCATCGTTCATTAATTGTATTTAAATGCTTAATTTTTCATTTGGTTCTCCTAAAATGCTTTGCCTTTTTTGTTGGTGTTGGAAAGATGTGCTTATTAGGTATGCTTCAAACACAAATCGAAGCAATTTTGATTGAATGAGAAGCAGTTGCATAATTTTTATGATTTTAGAGAAAACCAAAATTGCCTAGATTCGTGATTCAGATCAATTAAAAAAATTCCAACATTCTATTGTTTTTATTTTTTTTTTAGATGTAGGTGAAGAAGGCTCTTCAAAGAAATAATTACCTTACTGTTTTTGTTTTCTTATATGTTTATAATTATAATAATGGGCTGTACCCTGTATATAAATAGGTTTTTTTAATATAAATAAAGCATTAAATAATAGAACTTGGATATATTATTTACTAAAAATATTACAAAAACAACTTAAGATGATTCGGCCCCATTGGTCCAGTTCCTGGGCCTCTCGGCAGTCAAACTTAAATCCATTAGACAAGAAGTAGCGCCTCCTCTACGTGACTACAATAAGGTAAACGTCAATTCAATTAACTTGAATAAATTATAGAGTACATACACGTGGTGGGTTGGAGGGTGAAATCTCATAGCCTCTTTGAGCGCATTCCTTTCTGATCACTCCCAAAATTCCAAATAACATGCCTGTATTAAAACCCCACATTCTATTGCGTTTCACCAGCCCCACACAACTGCCTGCAACAAAACCACCTACAAACCAGTTTAGTTTGTCATCTTTCTTTCTTAAACTAGTCATGCCATTGGTGACAAGAACAAATGTACTGGCTATGCCCACAATTGGGGCAGCGACTGCAGTAAATCTCAAAGCACTATTTAAATAACCTTTGGGGTAGCTATAAAGCAACTAAAAAATAACATTTAATGATATTTGGTGTTTATATTTCCCTAAATTAATATACATACAACATCCCCTATTCCAATTAGTGTAGCTGTAGGGAGAGTGGGTCTTACAACACACCATAGTTTTTTCATAACGTCCTCACCGTCAGGAGTGTCGAAATAATAATAACGGTTGGGGTCTCTTTTTGGTTGTTTTTGGGACATCTTTGGTAGTTTTTTGGGGCCCAAATTATGTAAGTATAACTTTAGTGAGTTTATTTATTTGTTTGACATTGACAGAAGCATTACGGGTACGTTCATAAAGGGCACTTTTCAAAATTCACTGGTGCCATACCGGTTCAATAGTTTACTCACCAAACCGTTCCAAAATGTACCGACTTTTTACCGGTTGAACCAGATCATCCGTTCCAAAATTGACCGGAATGATCAGCGTGACAGCTACCGGTTTATTTAACCGGTCAATTTACCGGTGAAATTTGGAAAGTGCCCAAACCATCTGGCGCTCCGAGGAGTGCGTTCAAGGACGGCAATGCTAATGCTAAAACCTACCTTTCCCCCAAGGAGAATACACACTCTAAGGAGTGCTTATCGGCCTCGTTTTTGGTAATCGCCGCCATATTGGTTTTCAACCATTGCCGACGTCATAACTAAGTCGTCAGCTGTTTAAACAGCATATGTCAAGGCGAGAAACGCCATGCTGCTTACGTCACAAGTGGTTGTTTGGCTAGGGGAGGTAGGGGGGATTTGTTACACACAGGCCTTATGAGGATAAGCCATCCTGTAGTAGTAGTAGTGTGTATTATCCTTGCCTTTCCCCTTCTACCGGCGATGCCAAATCCAGGTGTGAATTTGCTGGAACGCCAAATACCGTTTCTCAATTGGGCAATCCAAACCACGTGACATTCAAGGTGGCGTGGCGGTCACACATGGACTAAATACTTACAAAAATATCTAGTTTCTGCACGACTTATAGTTTACGTACCTAGTAAACAAATATTTTATTGAATAATCAAAATTAAAGTTGCAAGCAAAACTCGAAGCAAAATAATTGAAATATGCATGAAAACACATATTCAAAACTAACCTGCTGGCCGCCACGCCATATTGAATTTTTCATTTCAGATCGTCAGCGTTAGTTATGTATTCACCACTTCCACTTCCGTTCTAGAAGCTTTTTGTATTGAATTATTTATGTGTTGTTAATTGTGCCAAAAGTGACAGACCCCTCTTATCCAATCAAAATTCGTATAACCATTTCTAGACTCAGTTGAAAGCACCTCCAAAAGTTATTTTACCACGGCCGATTTTGAACGTGTAAAGCCAACCGCTTTTCGCACGCTGGAGCCGAACTAAACGCAATATGCCAATTTTGGTTTGGCTTTAGCCGTTTTGAACGCAACCCCGGTCGCCCTAATTACATCTTCGAAAACTGCCTTATGCGCTCATCTTCAGCTTTACCGGTTTCAATGCTGCGTTCATTACTAGGTAGGTGTGCACACGGAGCGCGCACGAAATCTACGAGATTTTTGATATTTTGGGGTCCAGTTCCAATTTGCAATTCTTGAAGTTGCTAATATGGAAAAGATAGAAGTTGAAATTAATCCCAAAAATTTCAAACTGATTGAAATAGATGGATCACCATTTGCAAATGAACTAAATGAAGAAAATCACATCTATTGGCAAGAATCTAATAAGCAACACCTTTTCCTTTTCTATTTAAAAAGTTAGGTCAAGATGAATTTCCCGAATTGAACCATTGACGGATGATTCTTGATGAATCTGACCGAAATACGGTCCTCCCGTTCAATCATAGGCATAGGCACAGCCCTCTACACTTACAAGCCATGAAGTTGGAAATAACGGCAACGTCGCCAATGGTGCTATTTTGCTATTGAGGTTATATGTTTCTGTGTATTGTTTTCATTGTTTATTGCTAGAGTGAGGTGCATTTTCAAACGAAAAAGTGGCTAGAAACACCAATATATTGTTTACTTACTGTTTATATTTGGTTCATACCTGTTATGCCATTATTAATTGTGTTTTGATTGTGAATTTATAGCAAATACTGCAATCGGTACAGGAGCAAAAATTAAGGTGAGTTAAGGTAAAAGCAAATAAAAACAATATAATATTTGTTTCCACTTTGCAAAGTGCAAGAGCACATGTATAGGTCTCGATATTATTATTATCTAAGATATTTAAACTTGTTCCAGATGCCAAGAAACTGCTGTGTGCCGAGGTGCAAATCCAACTATAGGAGTTCCCTGAAGACTGAGGAACTGCAAACAACATTTTCATTTCCAAAAACTTCCGAATTACAGAAATTATGGCTAAAAGCTATTCACCGAGATAATTATACGGTAACAAAAAATTCTGTAGTGTGTGCGAAACATTTTGATGTTATGTGTGTAAGTTTGCAGGAAATTAACAATTTCAAATTTGTTCTGCATAGTGATTATTTAAAATTGTACAGTAATTTTGATGACTCTGTGCAGGAATACATCTGTGGATACGTGGCTCGATCAGTTCTGAAGAATAATAAATGTGATAAATGTCAAAGTTTAGTAGTTCTAGCAAAAGGCATCCAGACGGATCATACATATTTTAATTCTCTGCAGAGAGGGGGTCTCTGTATTGCCACTCAAGAAACCAAGTTTATTTATTTTCATCTTTGTGCTATCTTCGAGTATATAATTAATAACAAAGATCTTGAAAGTATGTTCCTGAAAACAAATGATCATCATAATTTATTATCGCAGCTTACTTTTTTAGCTTTAGAGTCCGATACCTTTAATATTGATTTGAACAAAATTTGTGAATGTGGTGCTAACTCAAAAAAAATTTACTCCTTTGCTTCTTTGATAATGAGTAATATTATTTTAAACAACTACACAAAATTTAAAAATAGTGAATTTCATAAAAATAAAACAGATTCAAGTAAAAAAAGAAAACTAACCACTTTGAAATAGAAAAAAAATGTACCTAGGTACTAAAAATAATAATAGAGGTATGTTTTAAGGGTAGCTTTCCCGAATTCTTAGAAAGTATTTATTTTTTTAACATGATAGGTAGTTGCTAGTTGTATAGAATTGTTTGACAAGACCTTGTACATATAAAATAGATATAGGATTATAACACTTTAGAATCTAGTAATATATTTATTTAAATCAATTATTTACTGTTCTTATTTACACAAATATTTATATTATTCATTGAATTACTGTTTTTACTTTTTAGTACAATATGATGCATTTTGTGTGATTAATATGTACAAAATATTGGTAATATTACAATAATTTTACTAACTACTAATATTTTTTCAAAGAAAACTACTTTTTTATGTAATTGAGATAAGAATTCATATCATCAATAAAAGTAAATAAACCATACGCGGAATTGAGGTTAAATAAAACAGCACCACTTGGCGGTAAGATTGCGGTGTTGCCTTTTTAACTTCATGGCTTGTAAGTGTAGAGGGCTGTGGCATAGGTCTGTCTCTGCAGAAATCAAAAACCAGTTAGAGTGAATTTCATTGGTTGAAACTAATTTTCTGACTGTTTTCAAGTTTCAACCAATGAAGTTCGCTCTGACTGGTTTATGATTTCTGCAGAAACAGACCTAATATATTTTCTAAGCCCTGGCGCACTCTAGGTAAATATCGCTTGGGCGAATTTAGCCTGGATTTTATGAACGCACTCCAGACTTTACGGAAACGATTGATTCCGATATCGGGTCTACAGCTGAAATAATTTGTCTTTTTTCAATCGTGTTCATTAAAGAAATATGAAAAACAAACAGGTGAACTGCATTTGATTGAGCAGAATTAGATCGATCTTTTCTTGTTCAATTTAACTGAGCCAGGAACCTGTTCGATTGTAGTTGGATCAATTTTCCCCCACCAACAAAAAAATGATCTAGATCCACTCTAGATCACAAGAAGTGAACTGAAAATAATATTGCCGGTTCAGTTAAATCGATTAAAAAAAAAAAAACTAATGTTTTGTTTTTTTTGTGTGGGGTTAGCTTTTTGTTTTATTTGATTGTTGGCCGTTTGATGGTTTATGATTATTTTGATCAAAATTTAGTATAAACTGTGTTTAAATTTTAAATTTTGGAGCTCCTTCTAGGTGTGAAAGGAATACAACTATATCGAATCAGTGTTTCTGTAAAGCTTCGTGCAACTTGAAGATTACGCCAAACAACAAACAACGAACCGCACGACAATCAGAACACTAATTTGGACAGGACTACGAACGGATAGGATTTGCGAACCGGTTTGCAAATGCGTTCGTAGCCCCGTCCGTTTCCATCGTCGTTCGGTTCGTTGTTCAATATTTGTTGTTCGGCGGTCGGCATAATGTTCAAGTCTGCACGCAGCTTAAAGTGAGTGGTTTTTGCACCCTACTGGATTCTACTTTACGAGTCGAGTCGAAATTCGGGGTCTAGAACACATTAGGTCCCTAAAAACGGACAATTTTTCTATGTTCAAATTTGCATTGGAGCAATTATTAGGTTTGTTCCAACCTGCAATAATATTACTGTAATATTATCGTCCGTAACCGAGCTAATGCGACTGCGCAATCAAAAACAGTAATATTATACTAAATAACTTAAAACCTTGTTGGAACGTTTTTTGAACTAGTAGTACTCACAACGCAAGATGCAGTGGCGGATCCAAGGGGGGGGCAATAGGGGCAATTGCCCCCCCCCTTGAGCCTTATAAAAAAAAATAGTTGTGAAATTTTTGCAAGGCCGCTTGCCGAGAGACCCGAAATATAATTAATAATAGGTATATAGGTAATTAAATTAAAATAATGTATAAATTATTTTACAAAAACGGTTGCAGATGGACAATGCGGCATACACTCACACTAGCAAATTTATTGCATCAACACCTCTGTTGCGGAATTTGTTTGCTTGTGCATGGACTTCTTCAAATAGGATTCATAGGCACGCAACCAACCAGACGCCGCTCGCGCGTGACAGCCTAACTTACTTAACCGGGCGCGCCGGACGCTCGACATGACATTTCCGACACACGCTTTCCAGGTTTTCCTTCCCTGTTTTTTCCTTGTCAATACAATAGACAGTGCGTGGAGCGCAGCGATAGGCACAGCACAGCACAATTTGTTGCTATTAGGCCGGCGGCGATGCGCCGAAAAGCCTTCTCCTAGAGGATACGAATTACGTCAATTACGATAAAATACTCAATCAGCTAAACCAGGTATGTATGCTCATAACTAGGTACAATATTTTCATCATCAGGCGCAGTCAGTCGCGCAATCGCGCATTTTTAATATAATTTTGTTGGACGAAAATTATCATTCTTGGGGAGTTTTCGCATGTAGATTAGTATATAAATGCATTTTTATTCAGGAAGGGACCAGTTTCTCGTTTTTTTTGCTTTAGGGCTTAGAGACAGGATTAGTTTTTGTGGTTGTTCGTGGAACGATTCTTGTTTCTTATTTTAGAATGGATCACTTGGGACAACCTTGTAAGAAAAGGGCGAAAAGGCAAAAAACATTAGATTTTTTCATAGGAAAAAAACAGAAGGCTTCAGATGCAGGTAATCCTGCTACTGAAAATCAAGAAACTGACAACGATACAGCTACAGACTCAGACTCAGGTGTTTTGCCTATGAATGG